TCCAACATGCTACTGAGGAAGAGCGGAGGACAAGGGCAAGTAGCTCCAAAGCTAATGAAGTGGTTGGGCCAAAGCTGAAAGGACGCTCAGCTGCAGACTTGCCTGGAAGTGAAAGGAAAGTCCGATGCTGCAAAGAAAAACACTGCATAGGAACCTGGAATGTAAGATCTATGAACCTTGGTAAGCTGAATGTGGTCAAACAGGAGATGTAAAGACTTAATATTGACATCCTGGGCGTCAGTGAACTAAAATGGACGGGAATGGGCGAATTCAATTCAGATGATTCTCATATCTACTATTGTGGGCAAGAATCCCATAGAAGAAATGGAATAGCTTTCATAGTCGATGAAAGAATGGGGAAAGCTGTACTGGGATACAATCTCAAAAATGAAAGCATGATTTCAATACGTAAAGACTTAATATTGACATCCTGGGCGTCAGTGAACTAAAATGGACGGGAATGGGCGAATTCAATTCAGATGATTCTCATATCTACTATTGTGGGCAAGAATCCCATAGAAGAAATGGAATAGCTTTCATAGTCGATGAAAGAATGGGGAAAGCTGTACTGGGATACAATCTCAAAAATGAAAGCATGATTTCAATACGAATCCAAGGCAGAGCTTTCAACATCACAGTAATCCATGTTTATGCACCAACCATCTATGTGAAAGAGGCTGAAATTGACCAATTCTATGAAGATTTACAACACCTTCTAGAACTGACACCAAAGAAAGATGTTCTTCTCATTATAGGGGACTCAAATGCTAAAGTAGGAAATCAAGAGGCCATCTCATGAGAAGACTCCCTGGAAAAGACCCTGATGTTGGAAAAGTGTGAAAACAAGAGAAGAGCCTGGCATGCTCTGGTCCATGGGCTCACGAAGAGTTGGACACGGCTTAACAACTAAACAACAATGCAACACCCCTCCTCCCGAGCGATATCTAATGAGATGGACTGCAGTGTACAAAACGTTTGCCAAACAAAACTTGTTAAAGTGCCACAAGGCTTTCTTTTTATTCCCCTATAGAAAACAGTAGACTTCGGGTGGCGGACCACAGTACTGTATATTATTTGTTGCTGCTACATCTAAGAACTTTTATGCACAGATCCAGCCGACCTCCATAAAATGTCCCTTCCCCTCACATCTCATCCAGTTTTAAGCTCCTCAC